TATCATAATAGAACTCGTCAAACTTTTTTATGAACTCTTCTAAATTGTTGAATACATTGAAATAATAATTTAATTTAATTAAAGAACATAGTAATGAATGTTCCTACAGTGCCAACAAAGAACAACACAGGTGAGATGCAGTTTCATCCCTTAATCCACCGTCGGGTCCTACAACCTGCAAGTCAATATCGTATCAGAAAGAAAAAGTCAATTTTCAAGTATGGGGACACACCAACTGTTCCACGTATGAATAGAACGCGTCGAGTCCGCGCGTTTGAAATGCCACATTGTCATGTCGCATCAGCTGTTTAAGTCGTGTTTAGCCTATAGACTTATCCCGTTAATTCAATTCCATCGGCGAGTAACTCGATCTTGAGAGATTTTTAAATTTCATTTCCTACATGCAGGCCAAATCATAGTATTTTTTCGCATTGTATACTGTATATATACTTCAAACTGCCGTTCCTAGGTGAACATCGATTTATTTTAAAAATCGATATACTGATGAAATTTTACCAAAAAATTGTTTCATTGAATAAATTTATTTATTATTATCTAAAATAATTCTGATGCCGCATCAGATGTTTAAGTCATGTTTAGCCTATGGCCTTATCCCGTTAAATCATTTTAACGTCATCGGCGAACAACTCGATCTTGTGAGCTTCCATATTCTATTTCCCCCAGGCTGGTAAAATCATGCCTATACGTCGCTGCTTAAACAACCTAAAGTAACTAACCAAAAATTACGTATATTGAGTTGTACCAAGCAAAATTATCGTATGTCTGACGAGCTACTACTTTTCCCTTAGTAAGAGACTTATATTTTTTCTTTTCGGATTTTTTCTTTTGCAGTAAGTGTATTTTTTACAAAATCGGTAAAAAATAAATTTCTTGATAACTTGGCCACTAAGATGGTGTTTGGTATATTTGTCTAGCTCTAAAAATGCGTTATTATGTTCTCATTATTTCATAAATATTTTTTCTTCAAATTTGGCGTCCTTTACTAGTACATATGTAAAAATAAAATAGAATTCGAAATACAATTAACGGTTGTTATTGTTAAGAACCCCTGAATATTATTTTATAATTGTGTGGAGTATATAATACATGGTCGTCCGACTGTCGTCGAACACAGGAATGTGCTGACCAAGGGTTTTAGGGCAACCATGGGCAAAGGACTCCCACTGTAGGTACCCTACAGTCAGTCGTGGTTTAGTATGCGCTAGTTACACTCATTCTATATCATTCTAAATCATTCTATATCATTCTAANGTCAAAAACATTACCCTTAAAATTTGAAAAAAAAAATCCCTCGTTCCTCGTAAACGGGGGAAATCCCCCAAAAAATTACAAATTTAAAAATCGCTAATTTTCGACATTTTTTCAATTTTTTTTACTAAAATTGCCATAACTTTGTTAAAAATGACCGAATCAATATAATTTTTTTTTTTTATATAGATATCTTAAGTATTATTTTGTATATTTTTGTGAACATTTGACCCTTTACAAGCCCACAGGAAGGGTTTCAAAATGGTAACATTTTTACAAAAAATTAACTTATTCAACTTTACTTTTGAAAATGTTCCGGAAAGTCTGACACTTTTATATATACCTTAAATTAAAGCTTATGTAATATACATTATTTTGAAAAAAAATTTTTGACCTCTGGACTTGTCTTCGTGGTGAAAACAGACATTAAATTTAAAGAAAAACGTACGATTTCTGTGAAAAAATTTATGATTTTATTTTATTAAATTTATATTGCTATAACTTTTGGAAAAATGTATGGATCAATATTATTATTTTTTTTATATACCTCTTTCATCTGACACACTTTTTTTGTAAATCGGATCATTCCTCTTTATACAATGGGGGACAAAACTTTAGACATGCGTATTGAAACTAGGACATTTTCAATTTAATTTTTGAAAGTTTTCCAGAAATACTGACACTTTTATATATACCTTAAATTAAAGCTAATGTAATATACTTTAATTAAAAAAAAAATTTGATCTCAGGATTTGTCTTCATGGTGAAAATGACTACCGTATGGAAAAATATGCTATTTTTGTGAAAAAAGTCTTAATATTATATTTAACATTATGTTGCTATAACTTTTTAAAAAATGTAAAGTGACTATGGAATGATCGAGAATCTTTGCGACGGATAGGCAACACAAAATTCATATACGCGCGAATGTTCTCGATCGCTCCGTAAGAGAATCTTTTAGAACTCATAACAATATAAAACGGCGCGACGTAACAATAACGTCAAACAGTTAGTTAGCCAGTCGTCAGTTAATCGGTAAAGTAGTTAAGTACACGTAGTGCACTAATATAATTTTTATATAAATTTTTTTAGTGTTTAAACAATAAACCGTCTACATTTGTTCTGTTATATAAATTAGACTTTTTATTTATTTCAAATCTATAAGTGAAGCACTAAAAATTGGTGACCTCGACAAAGGAAAAATGGTAGACAAAACAACAACAGAAACAGAAGATAATATCAATATAGATGGTGTAAAGCTGCCATTATTTTGGAAATGTGACCCAGCTGCATGGTTCAAAAGAGCCGAAGCTCAATTTAAACTATCACACATAAGTAAGTCTCAAACAAAATTTGACAATATCTTGGCCATGCTAGATGTAGACATAATAGGAAAACTAAGTGACATTTTAGACTTAGACAATACCGAAAACTGTTATTAAAATTTAAAAGATAAGCTCATTAACACATATGGTAGAACTAATGAAGAAAAATTTCGCGATTTAATTTCCGGAATTTCAATAGGTGACGAAAAACATTCATTAATGTTGTCGAAAATCAAATCTTTAGCCGGATAAAATTGTTCTTCTCACTTAATAAAACAAATGTGGTTACAACGCTTACCTAAACAAGCCTAAATAGTACTAGCAGTAGCTCCAAAAACAGTAACTGTCGAACTTGCAGAAATGGTCGACCGAGTAGTTGAAGTCTCTATAAACACAGTGAACCAGATACAAGAACAGCACAAACCAGATAAAATAGAAAATAAACTAGCGGACCTCCAACAACGAATTAAGCAACTTCAATTACAGCGAGGACGAACTTATTCAAGAAATACATGGCGGAACCACTCACGTTCAAAATCTCGGTCACATTACAACTCAGAAGGACCATTATGTTATTTCCATTACAAATTTCGCGGTAAGACACAAAAATGTGTTAAACCATGTAAATGGACCACAGAACTGCCAATCAAAACGGAAAACTAAAAATGCCCTCTGTGCCAGCAATAGAGACACAGAGGGACTCTCACTGCTTAGAAATCCTAGACAAAAAATCTAATCAAATATTTTTAGTTGACAATGGAGCCGAAGTTTCAATAATAAAACCTAGCAACTTAAACAAATCTAACATTTCAACTTGAGTACTTTACACTGCAAAAAATCAAATTATAAGAACCTACGGAGAACGAACAATGGTTTTAGATCTAGGACTTCGTATACAATTTCGCTATACATTTATAATTGCAGATGTAACTCGTTGTATTCTAAGAGTGGATTTCTTAGCAAAATTCAACTTGTAAATCAACCTTAAACGCAAACAACTTCTTGAAGATGGCGTTACACATTTAACAACACCACTAGTTACCTCGCTCAAGGCAGAAAATATACTGAGTAATTCATTAATTGAGCACAACTCAACCTATTCAGACATATTAAAAAATACTCTGAAGTCATCAATCCAGCTTATCAAAAAGAATCAAAACGCTCAACTGTCCATTTCATTCAAACAACCGGACTGCCAATATCAGTCAAAGCACGAAGGTTATCACCAGAAAAATTACAAATAGCTAAACAAGAATTCAAAAGAATTTGTGAAGAAGGCATTTGCCGCCCATCAAATTCCCCTTGGAGCAGCCCACTTGTCATGGTAAAAAAAACGAAATGATTAATGGAGACTATAGGGCACTTAACAGAGTAACTGTCCCAGATAGATATCCTTTACCGCACATACGTGATGTAAACATCCAACTTCCTAACAAAACAATTTTCTCAATACTGGACTTGGAAAAAGCTTCCAATCAAATAAAAATGGCTAAAGAAGACATTTCTAAGACCGCAATAATAACACCATTTGGCAGCTTAGAATTTTTAAAAATGACATATGGACTAAGAAACAGCACACAAACATTCCAAAGGTTTATAAACGAAATAATCCGAGATTTACCGTTTACAGTAGCGTACATATATGACATATTGATTTTTTCAGAATCCAAAAAGGAACATTTAAACACAGTACTAAAAACACTTGCCCAACATGGTATTAAAATCAACCTAGAAAAATGCAGTTTTGGACAAGAATCAATAACCTTTTTAGGACATCAAATTTCAAAAGAAGGAACTATACCTGATCCAGAAAAAGTCAAAAGTATAAGAGAATTGCCCAATCAAATAAAAGATCTACGGCGATTTCTTGGTATGATTAACTTCTATAGACGTTTTATACTACAGCTCGCACATCACCAACTACATATGAATGAGCTGATTCCAGATAACAAGAAAAATGATACGTGAGTCATAAATTGGACATCTGAAGCAAAAGAAGCATTTTATTAATTATAAATTATGATTAATTATAATTATAAATCGGGATAAAATTAAGGGAATAAGTGTTATTATTGTTTATGAAATAATTTACCAATTTCTTAAAATTAAACACTATCTACAGATTTGCATCAAAGCGTTACTTAAGATAGTGATTTTAATCAGTTACCCCACTTGACCCTAAATATTTTAATTTTATAATTCATTTTAAATTATTAAAAATTCTACAAAGTAAGAAGAGTGGAATTTATAGGACAACTAATAAAGGACAATGTAATTAAATTTACTGATTTCTGGGAGAAGAAGAGGATAATTAAAATATTTCTTTTCAATAATTGTATTTATTTTATGAGTAAATAGTGATTTATAATATACTAATTATCCTGTGTATTGTTTAGAGATACTTACCTTTCAAATAAAATGAAATGAACACAATAATAAAATATATTGACAAAATATGCAATTTCTAAAACAAATTTTCAAATTTTAAATCTATATTAATAAAAATAAAAATTAAATTAATCTTTATTTGTGCCACAATAAAAAATAAATAGAATTTATTATACTAGTAAATTAACAACTAAATTTGTTTTATAATTTTTATAAAATTTAATTTATTAATTTATTTTATAATTGAAAAATTAAATTGTTTTACATTGCTAGGTATGTAGAATAATTTTACATACCATTGTTCTTTTGTGTACCAACAAATTTATTGTATGCCGTAATACAAATTTTTTGAAACAGACATAATTTATAAGGATTCGAAGTAAAATATACGTATTGGCAAACAAGAAATACTTGAAAAAATAAACAAAATAAATCTAGTATGTTTGCAAAAATAATGAAATATTGAAATGCATTATATTTTTAACATAGAATGTCATTTATATTTTTAACTTTATAAAAATCACATTAATTATATTAGATTATATTTTAAGACTACTAAATAACGAACGACAGATACGTATTTTTACAAATATACTTGAGGACAATTAAAGATTCAAATTTTAAAAAAGGTTTCAATATAAAAAAAATTATTGTAATTTGTTAATATTTCAATAAGTTATGGCAGCTTTAAGTACAGAAAACATCACATTAGAAGGGTTTTTTTCGCAAATATTACATTTTTTGTTGAATTTCAGTGATCATTTACACATAGAAGACAAGGTATAGGGAAAAAATTTTTTTTCAATATATAGTGCGTAGTATAAACTTTAATTTGAAATGGGTTTAAAAAGCGCAGTATTTCCAGAACATTTTCAAAAGTTAAGTTGAAAAAGTTGCTATTTTAAATCTCTCCTGTAAGCAAATTGAGTATTAGATTTTCAAAAAAATGATATCAAATGATAGGTAAATATATAAGGTACCTATAAAAAAAAATTAAGTTGATTTGTTCAGTATTGAAAAAGTTATGGTAGTTTAAAAAAAAAAAAAGTAAAAATTTACTGATTTTTAAAATTTTAATTTTTTTGGAGGTTTTCTCCATTTATGGTGAACGAGGAAAATTTTTCAAGCTTAAAGGATAATTTCTTCAACTATATACGATTTGTGATCTTTTGACATATTGTTGAAAGAAATCGTTCCAGAAAGAACTAAGAAAACGTGGCAACAGGCACACACTAAAAAAAAAAACATATCATGGTAAATTTAATACCTTCTCAGCTTCCCATCGAAGCTAAAAAAATGGATTACAGAGTAATCGGATTATCATCAATTAATGACTGGTTGATTACAACTTTTCGACTAGTATTTCAGAAGTTTTTAATAATTTAAAGTATAGACTAGAAGTTAAGAGTTGATGCTACTAGTTTTATCACTAATCATTTCCCGGTTGTACTCAACGTCCCGCTTACGTATAAAAATGAAAATAACTTCTGAAGTGCTGGTTAAAAAGTTGTTACCGATGATAAATTGTCTTAATTAAATTATTTTCTATTTTATAAACTAGTTAAATATGTATGTTGTCTTTAAAAAAATAAAGTTGACATCCCTTCAAGTTATAAGGGATGATTCTAAAAAGTAATTATTATCTAATAAATCAAGAAATATAATGAACTAAAAGAAATAAAAAATTTTTTTCCAATATTGTATTTATTTTGTGAGTAAACTGATCACTCTGTATAGTTTTACCTTCTTTTTTTTCCTCGTCTTAATCCCAACTACTTGGGGTCGGCCATAATGTATAGTTTTATAAACGAGTTAAAGACAAAATATTTTATTTGTGAGGACAGATCTAATCAAAAGATACACGTGAAAATATATATTTGATTGATTATGATTACTCATAAATAATAATTGGAGTTAAAATGGAAATATTTTTAATCCGATTAATATATTCAAATGGTCTTTTAAAATTATATGGCATTTTATTATCCATAAATAATGTGTCATTAATAATCATAAAACAAAAATTTTTCTCAAATATAATTCTATATTTTTCCATCAAAAATTTATTTTCCATTAATCCAATAATTTAACTAGAAACTTAATTGACATATGAAGTGGGCCGAAGGACTCGTGAAAATTCAGATTACTCATACTTAAGTACTAATGTCTTACATAACTAATTATAAAGAAGTAAATATTTGACGTGTTTAACTACTTATCAAAATGATATATGGTAAGTTAACCAAAGCAATTTAAATATTAAATATCAATCTATACTTAATTCTCGAAATTTGTGCAAAACGTTACTCGGTAAGGCAGAGCAGCATTGTAGAGCCCTCAGACATCTTATTATTTAAGAGTTCACTCATTGTCAGATATGTAGTAACTCAAAAAGTACACTTGTAATAATTAAAAAAGAAATAATTAAATATATAAATATGATTTTGGGTTGGGTGTTGTTTGAGCTATTACTTTTATTGTATTAATAATATTACTCGGGGTACGAGTATGAGGGTCTGTAAGAAAGATAGAAGATGATAGAAAAATAAAGTGATCTTTATTTTATTAATATGAAATTTATTGTGATTAATTGTCAATTCATTAATATCAATAATGCCACGAGTTATCGATGATAGGTGGGATTGAGTCACTTCGTTTGTCTACCAAGAGTGGTATATATGAACCTCCAACCTAACTCCTGAAATAGACACTTATCAAAGATATAACTCTGCGAAATAACTCGGTACAAACATTATCGATTTATTAAATTTACTTGGTATATTTCTTATTTTTGATGATCACTTAATTTTCCTGTATGCCTACTTAATCTATGTACTCATAAAATTTAATTTTAAATCTTATATATTTTTGGAGAAATTATTAATTTCCAACCTTGATATTTCTAATGACACGCTGAAATAAATAAATATTGTTTTTTTTGTATGAATATAATTGTAGAAACGGCGGATCACTTTTCGTATATATTTCGTTATGAAGGTGTGGAATGATTAAGCGTAATTCAACGTACTGAGCTCCTCTGTGAATATCTGATCGCATCTGACCAAGTGAGAGTATTCTGACCAGCATCAGAGTAACACCTGAGCCAGAATGTTCATTATTTTGGGCTTTTCATATTAATTTTGATAGTATTTTCAAAGGCAAGAAGTGATCACCGACGCTACCATTATTTCTTTATTAATTATAATTTATTACATGTTATTTATTAAATTTTCGTCAATAATGATTTACATTTTATAATATTCTACCGTTTCTTACGGTATAAAATCTTACACATTATTTATTACCTTATGTCTAACACATTATTATTACATATTGTTTATTATTTCTTGTTTCTTTATATAGTTAATACATGTTTTTTTCTACGAAATTTCATTAGTATATTTAAACATTTAAAAGGCTATAAATATATATTTTTTTTTATATTGGTATATATATAATATATTATATATATATATCATTTTGTGTGATTGATTAATTGAAGTCTTAAGTAATACATTATGTCATTAATGACATTAATTAGGGTGGATCAAAAAAAGTCGATCATCCAAATTTTAATTTTGAACCATTTTAAATTTATTTTATACATAAAATAGTCATTTTGTGAAAATTTAAGATTTTTAAAATTATTTTTACTGGTGGCTCAACATGTTTTTAGTATTTTGACCAAAAAAAAACAAAAAACGGCCTCTGTTATTCAATTTTTGGTCGAATATTATGGTTAGTATACCAAAATAGTTATATTTTTACTGTAAAATACAAATCTTTAGTTTCAAAATTCTAAGTCAAAAATTGATAGCGTGGATGTCATAATTAACGTCATTATATGGTAAATTTTTAGTAGGTCTCGAGTAAGCTTAAAATTAAAAAAAAAATTTTTTTTATGCAGTTTATGTATATTATAAGTGAAAAAAAATTCTTCACTAATTTTATATCGTATACCTTTTTTATAATCAATACTAGAATTTACAATATTCTTGAAAATATGAATAACTGACGATTGTCTTTACATAATTTTCAAATATTTTTTTTTTTTTAATTTATTTTTTATTAAATAAGAATACAGATTTATGTTATGATAAAATTATACATCAATATAAATAATGTCACGATTTCACTTATAAGACACGACAAATTATTACAGAATGTTTAAAAATGCACATTTCAAAACTACAATAAAATAAAATCTTTGTCATCACGATCAACAGAGTCCTTCTTCATCATCTTTTTTACTAAACTTCCATGAGCTCAATTTTAAAAAAATTTTCTAGATCGGATAAAAAATATATAAGAACATAGTAGTTTGTAATTTTGTTTTTTTATCATAATTGCAATGTAAAAATAGAGATTCTAATTAAAAAAATTAATTTTAAGATTTTTTACCCCTGAAATGATAAAATAAAATTTATTAAACTACATATTATTGTAAGATCAAACAATATCTTCTTTTATAAAAATTTAAAATTTTCCATAATTTCCAAAAAAAATAGTGTTTTATCCTTAATGAACACTCTAAAAAGGGGAAAAAATTATACTAATAATTTTAAATAATCAAGATCATAGTATAAACAATAATTAATTAACAGAAACATTAAAAACCACATATTACTATAAATAAATAAAATAAATGAAATAGGAACTATTTATTAATTAGTCACATAATCAGTCGATCACCTATATTTCTTCTTCGCCCGCAGAAGTTGGTATATCATAATTTCATTTTCAGCAGGATTTAGCGTCTTAGATAACAGAATAGTGTGCTTCTACTCACCTTCTTTACTAAACTTCCTTAAGTTCAATTGTGAAACATGAGTGGTAATCATTATAGAACCCATCAACGAAACAATACTCCTTGAATACTTTTGCAGTAAGACATGATCTTCGATTTAACATCAGCCTTCTGGGCAATACAATCCTTTGTTCGAAAGTCTGCACACATGGTAATACCTTTTTAGTTGAAGTATCTGGTCATGTAAACATCAACACAAATTTAGTTAGTTTAACAAACATTTTAAACTTTCAACTATTTATAAAAAAATTATTGTCTTATCATCATACTTAATTTAAAAATATATACACAAAAAATGTTCAGTTATTACTAAATTTTTTTAAATCCAAAAAGATCACATTGTACCAATTATGAACTAGGCTGAGAATTTAACGTTAATTTAAATATTTTATTTATTGGTAACACTTGATGGCTACTAATTTTTTAATAAAATTAATAGACTTCAAGGTCTGTTAGACAGTGATGTAGTCAGGGGACATAAATACTAACGGCGTATACTAACCTGCTAACTTTCTATTTATACTTGTATTAAAGTGGATCAAAATATAAAATAAAGAAACCCAGTAGAGTGGCGTAGTGACACAGTGAGGACGTGTTATAGTTGGATCCAGTATAGATGATTTCTCACAGTGATTAAAAACACTATCATGAAAAACGCTTCGATGAAAATCTGTAGATAGTCTTTAATTTTAAGAAATTGGTTGATTATTCTAAACGCAGATTAACTCCTATTTCTATCAATATTCTTGATTAGTAGTCGATTTATAAGTATAATTTATGAATAAATATCTATTAAAGCAATTCAACATAGTACAAAATTGATATTAGTTTCAATACGAAGCTGAGAAGATATTAATTTTACTATGATGTGTTTTTTTTTGTGTCAGTTACCACTTATTCTCAGCTCTCACCGAACTTATTTCTTTCAACAATATGTCAAAAGATCACAAATCGTATCAAGTCGGAAACGTTACCTTCCAAATTGAAAAAATTTCTCTCGTTCCCGTAACTGGGTGAAATGTCCAAAAAAACTACAAATTTAAAAGTCGCTCATTTTCAACATTTTTAGCACTTTTTACTTAAAGATGCCATAACATTTTTAAAAATGACTAAATCAATATAGTTTTTTTTTATGTATAGATACATGAGGTCCTTACCTATCATTTTTTTAAAAATCTGACAGGGAGATTCAAAATGACAACTTTTCACAAAAATTTAATTTTTGAAAGTGTTCCAGAAATACTGACACTTTTATATACATCTTAAATTAAAGCTAATGTAATATAATTTATTATAGAAAAAAAAATGTCGGACTTTATTTTGTCTTCACAGTGAAAATGGCCAAAAATGCTATTTTTGTGTGAAAATTTTCGATTTTATATTATACATTTTTAACTTTATATTTATATAACTTTTTGAAAAATGTATGAATCAATACAATTTTTTCATGAGAAGTAATATTTACATACATCTTTTATTCGAAATATTTTTTTTTAACACGCTTATATTAGTTTCACATGTATGTTTGTTGTGTGTAACTCTCCACGCGCCACGTGTTATTATTCTCGCGTATCCCTTTTTGTATGGCCTTGAGGCTAGAATGTCGTAATGCATTCACCCCATCTCGCTCACCACTCGACTACAATAATATAATCCTGTATATATACAGGGTGATTTTTTTATCATAACCCACTCAATTACTTGCAGAATAATAATAATTTAAACATTTTTTTTTTATCTTTAGTTACATATTATTCTTGAATTTTAACTATATAATACTTTTTAAGTTCATCCCTTATGCCTTGGAAAGAGGTCAACTTTGTTTTTTAAATGGTAACACATATTTTTAATTTAATAAAATGTTTGAGTTTTTAATTTAATAGTAAATGGCATTTGAATTTTTAATATAACTTTATTAGCTTATTAGATATAAACATTTAAAGTTTCAAAATTTTGAGTTAATATACATGTATAATACACATGGGATTGTAAATACAGGTAGCTAATTGGATTTTTATGNAAGGTATAATATACAAGGGATTACAAATATAGGTAGCTAATTGTTTTTTTATAACATCGATATTAGCAGGTACACATCATTGTTATTATCAATGATAGTAAGGTACATTGTTATGAGTTTATAAATACACTAACTGACAATACAGAAAGTATATCTATTGATAATCATAATTGATAATAAACAATCCGTGACTGAGACAGCAATGTCATAAAAATCCAATTAGCTACCTGTATTTACAATCCCATGTGTATTATACATGTTCATACTATTTAAAAAAACAAAGTTGACCCCCCTCCAAGTCATAAGGGATGAACTTAAAAAGTATTACATAGTTAAAAATTCAAGAATAATGTGTAACTAAAGATAATAAAAAAAAAATGTTTAAATTATTATTATTCTGCAAGTAATTGAATGGGTTATGATAAAAAAATCACCCTGTATATACAAACAAATTTTTATTGTTTATTATGAGAGATATAACATTTAAAGATTCAAATTTTTTGAGTTAATATACATGTATAATACATAAGGGATTATTAATACAGGTAGTTAATTGGTTTTTATGACAAAATTCGCAGGTATATAGCCTTTATTATCAATGGTAATAAGACGCATTGTTGTGAGTTTATAATCACACTAACTGGCAATACAGATATTATATCTATTGATAGTCATAATTGACAATAAACACTCCGTGACTGTTTCAGCGATGTCATAAAAAACTAAAAAGTAAAAAATAAATATAGTTAAAAAAAACTGAAAAACACGCTTTTAAAGCATATCAAACTAAAAAGTTAAAAATAATTTTTAATATAAGCTTAAAACAATAATGAACGAAAAATACTAATATTATTGTGAAAAAAGCCTGGGAGCTTTATAATAATATAATAATACTAGTATTTTTTGTTCATTATTGTTTTAAGCTTATTTTAAAATTTATATTTAACTTTTTAGTTCAATGTGCTTTAAAAGCTTTTTTTTAAGCTATATTTATTTATATCGGAATTTTTAAAATTAAAAACTATCTACAGTTTTGCATTGAAGCTTTTTTAAGATAGTGATTTTAATCACTGTAAGACATCATCTATACTGGACCTAACTATGACACGACCCCACTGTGCTAAGTTTTTTTCAGCTTATTCTAGGCCATTTAAACCTATTCCTGCTTCCGTTATTTCCCTCCTTGCTTCTCTGTGCTATGCCAGATTTTCTACGTTCAGAACTCCCAACAACGTGATGTCTTCCTTCACTGGATCCCCCCACCATTACCAGGCTTTTCTCTCGGTCAACTTTTATTCGGTTTCCAATGCGTAATGGTCAATATAAGTTGGTATTCTGCTTATCAGACGAGGACCATCTTATTTTCTGACTCTTGAGTGTGGCAGGTATATTGGATTCGTTAAATAAACTATTAAGTATTTCATAGTCACCTTCATAATTTTTTTTTTAAGTTCAAATATTCTTTGTAGGATTTACCTTTCGAAAATCATTAATTTTTTTTCGGCAGATTTTTTAGATCCCATACACCACAGGCACACAATACAGTTGGTCTAACAAGGGTCTGATATAATCTTATTTTTGTTCTTCTTTATAATTTATTGTGACAATTGACTTGCTTCCTTAATATTTTAACACTCTATATATATTCATATAAAATACATTATATTAACAGTAGTTTTATATCAAAGTAACTACTATAGTGGTTATTTCAAGTGGATAGTTCATTCCGCGCAGATAGTGAAAATTCAAATAAAAATATCTAAAAAAGAAGAATTTAAGCATTTGCATTTTAGTAACTATAGACCATTTAGATAAAGTTCAATTAATTTCATGCTCTTACTATTTCAAAATAAAGTTTTATCCTGCATATTTTTTTCAATAGGTTCTTTTTTAACATTTTTTCATTAATAACTTTTCAAATACGAAAATATATTGTAATATCATAATTAAACATGCTAAAATATACATACATTATGTTAAAAAATATTTTCATAAATTCGTTGTGCGCTCTTATTTGGATTCCAATATTTCAGTTGCAAAACGTGGGCGTTAATTATTTTTCTACGAATTGATTTAAATGTACAACCTTAGATATGACTAGTTAATTTTATTGGAGTTTGCTGTTTTTAAATAAAAACTCAATATTAGTCACTATATTATTTTTAAAAATTTAATATGTGTCTGGATATGAGGATATGGTTCAAAACTTTATTGCGAAAACTAATTAATTCATCACAGATGGTGTCTCTTGAAAATCGAGATCTTTCACAAAAATTATTCTAATTAAAATATTTCCATAAAAACTCTCTCAAAAATTATTGCCAGTAGTCCGTTCGCGTACAAATCGATCAAGCATTCTCTTTTTTACTCAACTCGATTATCAAGGCCTGGAAGTGAAAACTAGAATTTATTCAGAGTTAAAATTTATTCAAATTCAACTACCTTCATATTATAAAATCCTAATTCACACATGAAACCTCAGGTCTATAGAATAATTATTGTTGAGTTTTCTTCAACTATTATACGCTAAGAAATGTATAGTCTATATTTTTATTGCATTCACTTACACAAATATTCTAACAAATCTTGACTATTCGTAAGTTTAGTTCAGGTCTGTTTTTGATGAACCCTTTTATTCCCATCCCGTCAGAGATAATTTATTTTGTTTAGTAGTAACTCAATCACAAAGAGTCTCATATATTTTATTAAATAATACTAGTTAAAGAAACTTCTCATCTACACCTTGACGCGGTCGCATTGCACTTCCGGCTTTACCGTTGGATAGCGACTGCGACACAGCTGCCTCTCCTCGTCCGACAGGTCGCGCGACGCCGAGTGACCGCGGGTGACGAAAACCGGTCCAACCCTGCGGCGATAAAATAATTATTATTATCTTCTCATTTTGACCGTTTAGACACACATACGAACAACAAAGTTTAATTTTCATTCTGTATTTTGATATTGTCATAAAACGGAAAATATACGCCAAATAATATTTATTTGACGGAGTAATTATTTATTTATTTAATAAACAAAACACCTTAATCACAACAACCTATTTAACAACTAACTATATTCTGCTTTTTGAGTTACTAGAAAATAGAATAATTATTTATTTAAACACCAATAAAAGACATAATAATTTTATAAAATAATTTATTAAGATAATTTTATAATGGTGGTCACGATAATTAATTTTACTTATTTTATGAAAACATTATTATTTAATTTTAATGTTAATCCCTTAGAAGACGTATATTTATAAATGATATATCTTATATTCTGATAAAGTAATAAGTAATTAAGACATTATACCATCAATATTATGATGCTATCACACGGGTAAAACATAAAATATTAGCAGATAGATAAAATCAAATAAAGATATAAATGAAACAAAAATTTTTAATTTTTATAATTGTAAATTATTTAATAAATAAATAAAACAGTAAATTATAAATTAAATTAATTAACGATATAAGAATTGTGTATTATTCTATTGACAAACATTCTTCTGATTGGATAGTTTAGGTATATTCCTTTAATTATAACAGTTGATTTTTTTTTCATCATCAATTGATAGTAAGTCTTTAAATAAAATTATGAATAAAAGAAAATTTTTTTCAAAAATTTATCACAATTAAATTTTTATTTCCAGATAATAAGAAATGTCTTCAAACTATAAAAAGTTTTATATTAAAAACAAACTTACCACATTACATTTGCAGACAATTATCCTCTATAACGGTTTTTATAATTAATGAAAATGTTTTTGGTTACAAGTGTATATTTATTTAATATGGTAAAAATATTATCGATATATTAGATACATGGGGCGGTTTTTAGTAAGAATTAGAACAATTCAATAATGGTAAATTTTCAAGAAACATTAATTACGAGTTAAATTTTCCTAGTGGTATATAGAAATACTAAAACTTAATTCTATACTAAGTAAACTGCTAATAGAAACAACATATAACAATACATAACACATTATTAAATTGTTAAGTAACTTAAAATAACAAAATTTTACTTGATAAACTCTCACAAAAGCTTTTCACACATAATATTCATATGATATATTATATCTTGTATGTGTAAGGATTAAAATGTGTGTACACAAAGTACATAATCAGCGTGATTATTGAAAATCATACTATCCCCTATTTTAGCTTCGATGCGAAGCTAATAAGGTATTGGTTTTACTATGATGTGTTTTTTTTTTTTTTTTTTTTTTTTTTTGT